TGGGCAGCGAGACCTCATCTCTACAATAAATCAAAAAATCATCCGGGCATGGTAGCGCGTGCCTGTAATTCCGGCTACTCGGAAGGCTGAGGAGGAAGGATCGCTAGAGCCCAGCAGGTCGAGGCTGTGGTGGCCGGGAGCGGCCACTGCACTCCAGTCCGGGCGACAGAGTGAGACTCCAACTAAAAAAAAAAGACCAAGCCGGGCTCGGTGGCTGTAATCCCAGCACTTTGGGAGGCTGAGGTGAGTGGATTGCCTGAGCCCATGGGTTCGAGACCCAACCTGGGCAACTTGGCAAAACCTCATCTCTACAATAAATCAAAAAATTAGCCGGGCATGGTAGCGCGCGCCTATAGTTCCAGCTACTTGGAAGGCTGAGGCGGAAGGATCACCGGAGCCCAGCAGGTCGAGGCTGTGGTAGCTGGGAGCGGCCACTGCACTCCAGTCTGGGTGACAAAGTAAGACTCCAACTCCAAAAAAAAAAAAAAAAAAAAAAGACCATAGCACGAGCAAGTCTGTCAGGGTCTACCCTTTCCCAAGGAACACTCAGGGATTTGGGGATCTTTTGTTTTTCTCTGCCCTCCCAGCCCAGTGGAGCAGGGACAAGATGGAGACCATTTGCCCTGTGTCAAAAGGGTTAACCTCACAGCCAAAGACAGTCAGGACTAGAAGATTCTCAGTCCCTTTGGCCTTTGCTTTTTTTGAGTCGGAGTTTCAATCTGTCATCCAGACTGGAGTGCAATGCCACGTTCATGGCAAACACAGCCTCAATCTACTGGGCTCAGGCGATCCTTCCACCTCAGCCTTCCAAGTAGCTGGAACTACAGGTGCCTGCTACCATGCCCGGCTAATTTTTTTATTTATTGTAGAGATGAGGTCTCGCCAAGCTGCCCAGGCTGATCTCAGACCCGCAGGCTTAGCATTCCTCTCACCTCAGCCTCCCAAAGTGCTAGGATTATAGGCATGAACCACCACGCCCGGACGACCTTTGCTTTTTTCTACTTACTGTTGCTAGGAAACTGATTCCCTTTAGAAAGCCTGGCTAAATTGGGGTCTTGAAGTACCACCATAGATAGAGAGGTGCCAGGTGGAGTCCGTTATAAACACAGATTCTATATCAACATCTGCATCTTCTCATTCAACAAAGTCACAGACATCTTGCCTCCTGCAGCCCTGTGGCTGTGCCTGTCCTGTATACACACCTCCATCCTTCTCCAAGACATTTGTCTTTTGTTCTCTTTGTACTTGCAAACTCAGTGACAGATTATCCTGTAGACTCAGTCCACTTGGTCAACTTCAGAGGCTCAGGGTCCTTGCTCTGCAGGTGCCTGTGACATCACCAGTGCCCACAAGCCCCTATGACCTCACCACCTGGACAGCTCAGCTAAGTTGGACCATGGCCACTCCCTCCAACCACCACAAGTAGCAAAGGGCATAGATGACCACTGAGCCTTTGAGAGAGGCCAACACTACCAGCAACACCACACATGGAACTCCCGAGGCCTCCCCCGACAACATGTCTGACAACAGGTCTACAGACAGCCCAACTGGGGCGTCCCAAGGTCAGGTCCCACTCCCTGCAGATGTCGCAGTAGAGAGCAGCACTGAACAGCAGGTTGTAGATCAGGCCTCTTCCAAGACAGCCACTTCCGAGGATAAGTCAATATCTGGGGACAAAAACAAGGATGGAATTGTTCTGGGCAACAGCAAGGAGGCACCTGAAGAGATCACAGTTCTGCCTCCTGGCCCAGGCCCAGGCACCCTGCAAATGTCCACGAGCCTCCAGAACCCAGAGTGGGACAGGCTGGCTCAACATGCAATGGCAAATCAGAGTCTGGTGGTTTTCCCAAGTCACTTCCTGGATAAGAAAGAGACTCCACAAACTGTGAGCATTCCCAACAGAGAGCCGGAATTAGAGCCATCTGCCCCAAGAGCTGAGGTACAGTCCATCCAAAATGTGGAGGTTCAGCCCACCATGAGCGATGCTGACCAGTCCACTGTAGACACCAATAGTCAGCTTGATCCTCAGGCCACCAGAGTCACTGAGGCAGCTGAGGATCTGAAGGCCTTGAACCCTGACACTGAAATTTTGCTGTACGATGTGTCCCAGATGGTGACAGGGGAGCATATGGCACACAGCTCGAAAGACCTGCAGGCTCGGTCCTTCCCTCCTTCCCCAAGAGGCAGCACTCCCCCCTCACCTGGACCCCAGGAGGTGGGACTAGGCAGGAGGCCCCTGGACATCAGCCTGTACATGGCCAATGAGGAAAACAGCTACATGCGCTCCATGACCAGCCTGCTGGGCGGGGGCGAGGGCACCATCAGCTCCCTGGCAGACATTCTGGTATGGTCTGAGAGCACCATGGGCATGGGCATGGCCCTGGGCTTCCTGGCCTCTGACAACAGCTCTGTGGCAGACGTGCTGCACAGTCCGGGGCCCAGCCTGCGCTCAGTCTCCAGCATCCTGGGGAATGTCAGCTCGGCCTTCTCTTCTGGCCTGGCATCAAGTACCAGCTCAGCCCTACACTCCGTCACCCACATGCTGGAGGCGATGGAACGGAGGACTGTGGATGGCATCCGCTCGGCCGTGCGCTACCTTACCAGTCACCTCACCCCACACCGGGCTCATGCTGGCCCAAACTGACCCAGGGACCCTGAAGGATCAGCTCAGTCGCTTCCAGAGATCCCTGGGACCTTCACGACCTGCTCCCTTGCTCCCCCAGCCCAAGCAATAAATCACCAGCAAGCGTTTATTTTCTAAGCGCCAGCCTCCTCCCTTGACCTGCAGTGAGTAACAGGCTGAGAAGACAGGAAAGCTCAGCGTTTGGTGGAAGCAGAATGTCCCCTAACGGCATCCTGGGCTGTTCCATTCAGGAAGTGGGGGCAAATGTGCAAAGAGCCTGGGCTGGGCTTTGGGCAGATGTGAGAGTCTCAGACCTGCAAAAACCCATCCCAGCTGAACCTCCACCCAGGTAAGTTCCTGAGGAGTTGAGACCCGGGCTTTCCCTGGCGCCCAGGCTGGCCCACAGACTCAGGCCGAGAGGCGGGAGAGGGTAGAGCAGTTGGAGCACTCAGTGAGACCAATGTGGGTTCAAACCCCAGTGCCGGCACTTGCCCTGTCAAATTGCATCACTCAGCCTCCTCAGCTGTGGAACAGAGAGGATAAACCCAGATCATGATGCTGTTGTAAAACATAAGGGAAACGACACAGGTCATGATGCAGAGCATCTGGCACTTAATAAGCCCACACATTTCAGCTGCCGCTACCATTATTCTCCAGTGGGCTGGGGACATGGAAGGAGCAGGGATCTAGGTGGGGTTACCAACTGTCCAGGTTGGCCTTGGACTAAGAGGGTTCCTAGGATGTGGAATGTTCTGATTTATTTTGCTTTTGTAGTTTTTTGTAGAGACGAGGTCTCACTGTGTTACCCAGACTAGTCTCTAACTCCTGGCCTCAAGTGATCTTCTCACCTCAGCCTCTCATGGACTTTCAAATTTAAACTGGAAAACAGGACGCACTTTGGGAGGTCCAGGTGAGAGAACTGCGTGAGTCCATGGGTTCAAGACCAGCCTGGGCAACTTGGCAAGACCTCATCTCTACAATAAATCAAAAAAATTCGTTGGGCATGATGGTGTGTGCCTCTAGCTCCGGCTACTTGGAAGGCTGAGGCGGAAGGATTGCCTGAGCCCAGCAGATTGAGGCTGCAGTGGCCGTGAGTGTGCCACTGCACTTCAGCCTGGGCAAAAGAGTGAAACTCTAACTCAAAAAAAAAAAAAAGAGGAGAGGAGAGATGATGCCTCTCAGAGAGAGGCAATAAGAACAAAAGCTGAGGCGGACCTGATGAGTGGTTGGTTGGGGTAGGGAAAGGTGTGGGGGAATGCGGAGTCAAGCAGCTCAGCGTGACTGGAGCCCACAGCAGGGCGATTAAGGAAACTAGATTAAGTAGAGATGAGCCAGCCAGCACAACTGCCAAGTGTGGGCAGGGTTGGGTCCAGGGCTCACGCTGGTCAGTGGGCTGTCTTTCCAGCTCGGCTCGGCTGTGCTGGCACCCTCCACTCTCAGGAGGCTCAGCCGCCTTCTGAGGAAAGGAAAGGACCATGTTACCACTGGCTCTGACAGGAGACTTTGGGGGAAGATACTGCGGGGTCTGGCTTGGCGCTGGTGCCCTTCCCTGAATCAATCTCTGAGGCCACAGGAATGACATATCTTGTCACTTGGGCTGGGGCCAGCATCAGCCCAGAACTGGGGGCTCTCCAGAGAAAAGGCTGCTGGACTCACAACCAGCAGAGTGGAAAATAACATGTCCTTTGGGTCCAGGCTGCCCTGAATCCTGGCTCAACCTTCCATAAATCCTGGCTCAACCTTCCATAAGCCGTGTTACCCTTCATCTTCCTGTGCCTCCGTTTCTTATCTGTAAACTGATAACAGTACCTACCGTGAAGAGCTGTTATGAGGTTCAAATGAGTTGAGTCCAGTTTCTAGAATAGTGCTTGGCACGTAGCTGAGTGCTATGTATTAGTGATCATGATGATGATGATGATTATTTTCAGAGATAGGGCTCTGCTCTGTTGCCCAGGCTGGAGTGAAGTGACACGATCAGAGCTCACTGCAGCCTTCAGCTTCTTGGCTCAAGTGATTCTCCTGCCTCAGCCTCCTGAGTAGCTGCAGAATGGTTCTGTGGCGCTACATGCCAAAGGCATTCATGACTTTTATTACAAGGGGAATGAAGACAGAGGGATGGCAGCTGCACGCTGGCAATAACTCAAGTCAGGCCTTCACCATTGGCGAGAGAAAGGCAAAGGCCTGGCAACCTGGTGATGGTGGCGTGCAGGAGAGGTGATGGTGAGGGCCTCTCAGTGGAGAGATGGTCCAAGTCTACAGACAGGGCCAGCAGCGAGGGGTGGCAAAGTGAAGGGAATGGAGACATCGCAGGTGACCAGTTAGATTGAGAGGACAAGAAAACGACAGTCATGATTCCTGGGTGGTTCGAGCCTGGACAGTTAGGAGTCCTGAGGTGTGACTGACAGGTGGTGGAACATGAAGAAAGACTTAATGGAGGCTGGTTGAAGGATCAGATGGTGTGTTTGCTTTTAGAAATGCTGAATTTCAGGTAAATCTGGGTCTCTTGACTCATCTGTTGGTCCTTGATATGCCACGTAGCAAGCTTGTTCACCTTTCACCATCACAGTGTTTACAAGGGGCTGCTATTCACACCTGAAGGTCACTGCTACTCAACAAGGAAATAGCTCACGCCCAGCACGGAGACAAGTTCTAGCTGGAGCCCTGCGACTCTGCCTTGCACTGGCTTCTGCAGGCCCCCCAGAAGGCTGTGGCAGCCACGCCCTATTTATTGTTTTGAGCCCCTGAGTCCCACCATAGGCTGACTCACTCTGAGCTGCTCTGAAGGCCTGCCAATCCAGTGTCAGCTGGACTGACACCCTGCTTGCTCTTCTTGTTCTTCTCCTCCTTGCTGTGAGGTAATTAATTGGGTTGGCAAAGCCTCCTGACAGCACATCTCTCCACATCTAACCCCAGGCATCCAGGTGTTATCATACCTGAGAGAGGAAGGTCAGGGATGCACACTCAGGGATGGAGTGTTCAACACAGAAAGAAATGGGTACACCCCAGTTCGTGATAAGATGGTCAGGTAAGAAATTCTAGAGTGAGCCAAGCTCGGTGGCTCAGCTTGTAATCCCGCGCTTTGGGAGGGTGAGGTGAGCGGATTGCCTGAGCCTGAGGGTTCGAGACCCGCCTGGGCAACTTGGCGAGATCTCTTCTCTATAATAAATCAAAAAATTAGCCGGGCGTGGTAGCGTGCGCCTGTAGTTCCAGCTACTTGGAAGGCTGAGGCAGAAGGATCACCGGAGCCCAGCAGGTCGAGGCTTCAGTGACCTGGAGCGGCCACTGCACTCCAGTCTGGGCGACGGAGTGAGACTCCGACTCAAAAAAAAGAAAAAAAAAGAAATTCTAGAGTGAAAAAGGAAAAACCCAAAGAAAGGAGCTTGGGAAGAGACCCCATCCCACATGCAAGAGAAGAAGAGGAAGCGATTCCTAAAACACAGGAGCAGTCAGCAAAGGGAAGCGATGCAGCTCATTGTGGGGACATGGGCTTGAAGGTATAGGGGATCAGACTATGCTGCCCCAAATAGGTCACTCTGGCACAGGATTATTTAAGCTGAAGGCAATTGAGAAAAAGTAAACACAGGATAAGCTTTCTGCCCTTCCACTTTCTGCCTGAAATTCAGGGTATAAATTCCCTTGGGAAATCTCCCCACTTTGCCCCTACCAGGAAGAGAAGAACAACCTTCTCACTGGAGACAGAGATCACACCAAGAAGAATCTACATAGGCAAAGGTTACTAAATAGCACTTATCTACTATTAGTGTCCCCTATATGTTTACTTTTCCACAATGTACCTCCCTAAACAGTCCAGAAACCCTTTTCCTTTTACTTGTCACTTCTCCTTTGTTAGAATGGTATAAAAACCACCAAGCCTAGCCACTTCTTTGAGGGTTTTCTCTTCTTTCTATGACATCCCCCTCTCTGGTAAAAAAAAATTTTTTGAGCCGGGCTTGGTGGCTCAGCCTGTAATCCCATGCCTTTGGGAGGCTGAGGTGAGTGGATTGCCTGAGCCTGAGGGTTCGAGACCCACCTGGGCAGCGAGATCTCATCTCTACAATAAATCAAAAATCAGCCGGGTGTGGTAGCGCACGCCTGTAGTTCCGACTACTCGGAAGGCTGAGGCGGAAGGATCGCCGGAGCCCAGCAAGTCGAGGCTGCGGTGGC